CTCTGTATATAATTCGTAATCTCCTCTTTGATTCTGCAGCATTCACTGTTCTTAATAGTTAACTACAGCAAAAATTACACTTCCCCAAAACCAAACATAGCCCTAAAAATCCAAATTCACATCCCATTTTGAAGGTTTTTAATTCAGCTAAACACTTACATTTCTAGTCAGGTTTGCAATAAACAGAAGAGATAGATATACAGAATTGAAAATCTACCTTTTGAGACAATACGCGAACCTTCTCGATGACGTCTTCGGACTCGAACGCTGAGAGAAGAGGAGAGAAGCGAGAGAAGAGGTGAGATTGAACGCTGAGAGAAGATGAAAGAAGCGGAGGGTAGCATGAGATCGAATGCTGAGAAAAGATGAGAGAAGTGGAGGGTAGCAAGAGGCGGGCGTTAGGTTTAGGGTTAGCTGCACTGGTTTACTAATTAGTGTATATATATATATATATATATTAAACAAACAGTTCAGTTCGGTTTAGATAACTTGGTTTGATGGCTAAATCGTAAGCCGAACCGCAAACAAATTATTGTACTTAAATCGAACTGAACTAAATTGTAGGTGAACTCAAACTGAACCAAACTGCGGTTTGGTTCGATTTACTCAGTTTAATCGGTTTGGTTCAGTTTTATGAACACCCCTATCTGTGAGTGAGCAAGATTGGTCCTTTAGCATGTGTAGCGCATGTGTGATAGAGAGTACGAGCGAGATTAAAGGGCCGTGCACGTGGAAGCGTGTGGATGTAAAAGCCAGACGCGCGAGCGAGTGACCAAGGCACGTGCTGGCGCTACGAGCATGAGGAAGTTCAAGGCGCGTGGATCAGACTTCTAGGTGCCTGTGGAAGCGCGTCAGAGGCCAAAAAAATCCAAATATACGGCGTTTTAATGAAAAATTGAAAAACAAACTAGGTTTATTATTTCTGAGCAAAAAATAGACCAATTTCCGAGTTAAAAGGTGAAAAATTTTGAATTTTTGCTAATAACAGTATCATACTGGTACTTGGAATGGAATTGGAAAAGAGGCATGTTGCTTGCTGCATAATACCATGTGCTAGGGAATAGACGTACATATCATTACAATGTTGGAATTTGAGGCTTGTATTTAGAAATTTCTTTTTAATACTTGAACAGCTAAAAGGATGTCGCCTATTATTTTCTTGGAATTGATCTTGTATAAAAATATTTCTAGGCTGTAACCCTTTCTATATTTTGCATTGCCAAAATCTTCCGGTTCCCTTAGTTTAGCATCATATTATTTGTCTATTGTTCTCTTTTCTGGAGTCCATTATATTTGTCCAATTGATTGTGTTAAGCTGATGTGTCAATACTATTGTTTTGTAACTTCCGTGCTGGCATGGGAGAATAAATCAAGGTTTTTCTTTTGTAGATAGCTAAAAGGAAGGCTGAACACATGTTGAAGTACCCTGATGCGCAAGTCATAAGCCTTGGAATTGGTGACACTACTGAGCCCATTCCTCAAGTTATAACTTCTGCCATGGCAAAGGTACGAGATTTTGTTTGATGAAAATAAAAATAAAATAGAAACTTTGGTAATTTCAGAACAACTGTTTTCAGTTTTGCCAACTTCTGTAAATGAGTATGGCTTATGAGGAATTTACATAGAGTTGTTATTTGATTGGAGTTAACAATGTAGCTATTGTTATTTCTTCTTGCTATTATTTATGTTTCGTGCATGGGAAATGGTATGGTTCCTGTTGAATATTATTGTTAAGTTAAGATGCAATGACTCTTCCAACATCAGTGTCAGCAGTCTTCATCTTTATACTAAATATTTGATTTTAGACTGTTGCAATTGTCAATTTTTCTTACAAAGAGTTTTTTAGAGGAGTCTTGTAGCATGGGCTGGTAATTGGACGTATATCACGTGGCTAAGAACGTATTAGCATTCTTCAAACCCTTTTCCAAATATACGAAGGCTTTTGTATTTGTTATATTATTTATTGGCTTATATTATTTTTTGTTTGGGAACAAACGTGTTCATTTGAAAATACTAAAATGTTCCAATGTTGCTAGAGGCAGAAGATGATGTTCACTAGTTTTGGCTTTTGAGGCGGGTATCCTAAAAAGGTTGAGCCACTCTCTTTTGGTGCCTGCCCTAATGCTGCTGAAATATGTTTTAGCTGTAAAGTATTTAGGCCCTTCATACTGCTTTTGAAGATCATTTTTCTAAACTACCTTTCAATTGCCCATCCTTCCAAAACATGCTAAATCTTAATTGGTTAAATTTGACTCCGTATATGAATTCCTATCAAATCTTCCAAACAAAAGGGATTTCTACCTTGTTTCTTTTCTTTGGCTAACATTGCCTGTGGTCTCTTCTTCTCCTCTTAGGCAGGTGTATCATTCTTTTTGAACCCCTTCAAGTTACATCTAATTGCTGATCCTCCCAAATAGATCTTACTGCCTTGTTTGAATTCCATTATAAACTCTGGTTTTTTCACCTCTCTAAGGAGTCCAAAACTGTCCTGAAATTGTTTGCCTGGACAGTTTATTGGAGAATGCTTGAGCTGATTTTTTAAGCTGCAATGGAGTCATTAAGTGCTATATTCTGGAGAGTTGCATGAAATATGAATTACCTCCTAACCGTAAAATGTACCATGAAACAAGTGAATGATTTTATAGATAAATATAAATATACACATATATCAAGGGCTGGTGGGGGGAGCTTTTGTCAAACAAGTTTATTTAAGGAGGTCAATAACATAGTGTGCCATACTATATATTTAAACAGATGTTCATGCTGAAATGTGTCTGATCTGTAATAAAATATTAGAATGAAGCACCTGTCAAGTGACTGTTTATGTTCACCTGCTTCTTACATTTTTAATGTTTTATTTTATTTTATTCCCTCTTATTGGCAGAGAGCACATGGACTGTCTACAGTAGATGGCTACAGTGGCTATGGAGCTGAACAAGGTGAAAAAGTATGTGGCACTTTTGTTCTCTGTTGACTATTTGCACCTCTTTATTTTGTTCCAGCTGAGGTGTTTTTAACGACACAGTTCCGCATGTATATTCACATTTTTACATAGCATTCTGGCTCTTATTGCCATTTGTGCTCTCTGTTTTTCTCTTAGATTTAAACATAATCTCACTTTAATTTTCTGCATGTTTTGATGCGTAAGTTACCATGTGTATGCGTCAAGGTCGTATGTTCTGACTCTGAAGCGTAACGTGATCTGGTGTTGATTTCTGGAAGAATAACTACAGCGCAGGTGCACGCATACATACATGCGTTTTTGTGCTCAATGATGGTTCAAGCCTTGAGGGCCTTGGAACCTTATGGTGTTGAATATGTTGATGGATTTCAGATGGCAAGGCGTTGCTCAGCTGACTGTACTTGATCCCTCTTTCCCTCTCTCTCTCTCTCTCTCTCTCTAAAAGAAAAGGGAAGAAAAGAAATAAAGTTGTGCTAATGAACGAAGTGTATATTGGCATCTTACTGTCTCGTTCAACTTACATCATCTTGATTGAAATATTCTACTTCGACTTGTTATGATAATACTTTCTACTATATGTTTGCTAGTGTCTACACGCGCGCGCGCATATATCCATATATGCTTGACAAAGCAATTCTGCATCCTTGCTTTGTGTTTCAATTTATACCAATCCTTTCTTTGTTGATCTGTGCAGTCACTGAGAGCTAAAATTGCTTCCACTTATTATTCAAATGTTGAAATAGGGGAAGATGATATATTTGTTTCAGATGGTGCAAAAAGTGACATAGCACGCCTCCAGGTTTGCTTTGGTTTCTTATATGCTTGTTACAAATGCTGAATTTTAAGTTTTGTTCTGCGTTATATATTTATCTAATTTTATTCAGATCTCTATACTCTATGTCTGTGTTTTATGGAATCTTCCCTACCCTATAAAAATGGAAAAAGGAAAAGGAAAAGGAAGGATTATAAACTTTGTGGTCAGTGCTTCTACTAAATAGTGCTAAGCTTGACATACCTTTGATTTTCTGGAACAGGTTCTTTTTGGCTGTGGTGTTACTATGGCGGTGCAAGACACCTCATACCCGGTAACTAGTCCATGTTTTCTCCTTCACTTAACATGCCATCTTAGAAATCCATGTTTTCTTCTTCACTTAACATGTCATCTTAGAATCCATTTTCTCCTGTATTTGGTTTACATTGGTTTATTGCAGCCTGATTAATTAGTGCAATTGCGAGTTCACTAGCCAAGATACTACCCATAGTATGGGTTCTAGCTCAAATTTATAATCTGTAATCATGCAGCACCTGAATATTTGAGTGCTGTTGCCACCTTTTAATCCTTCCCTTCCGCCCTGGTTTCCCTGTTATCATGTGTACAATTTTTTGAGAAATTCCTGTGACTTTTAGTTCAAGCTAAAATTTAACACTATCTGTCCAGCTCTGATAGTGGGTTCATCCAATCGGAATCCCATTGACCACTTGAACCCACTAGCTGCCAGTGTTCATATTCACCATCTCGCCATCAAATATATAATTGGTTGCTTGTTCAAGAGGTTATTGACACTGCCTGCTTTTTTTGATGTTGAGTTCTGAAAATCGACTTGAAAAACCAAGACTTGTTCATAACAATACACTCTGAACAAATTAAATTTATTTAATTTTGAAGAAGGAAACAAAAGGAGAACAGAGAACTACTTTTGAGGCTTCCATGTTATACAGTGTGACCATCTACATGCATGTTATATTTGAATGAAATGGCTGTATATGCATAAAATCTTATAAGTTTTTTCTTCATGAACTAAGTCTTCCAACTTCCACTCCAAAATCTAATAATGAAGAAGAGTTCAAATGGAAAAAGTAGAGTAAGTGTTTGACATGATGGCTTGCAATTTTTACCTTGTGGACTTTGTGTTTCTTCTTGCTAATATTTTATAATACAAGAGTTTTCTATCATATTGCAGGCTTATGTAGACTCTAGCGTCATTATGGGTCAGACTAGCTGTACCAAGAGGGATTTGGTTATGGAAAAATTGAGTACATGAAGTGCACTCCCGAGAATGGTTTCTTTCCGGATTTATCTTCTGTGTCTCGAACTGATGTCATATTTTTTTGTTCACCTAACAATCCAACTGGTGCTGCTGCAACAAGGGATCAACTGACTCGACTGGTGCAGTTTGCAAAGGACAATGGTTCGATTATAGTCTATGATTCTGCGTATGCAATGTATATATCTGATGACAAACCAAGGTCCATCTTTGAAATTCCTGGTGCAAAAGAGGTAAGAGTTTGAAACTGCTAAATGTTGTTTTCTCCAACACCTTGGTTGGGCGTATAATTCCTGCAAATTTGTCTCTTTTTAGTCTCTTGTTTGAGAGTGCCCCTATGTTGTCATTATCCCTTCCTCAAATATGGCCAGTCTTTTTTTTTTTTTTTTTGTGTGTGTGTGTGGTGTTCTGTGTTGTTTTTCCCCTTGTTTTGCTTGCATTATACTTTATTTCTCCTGTTTTATGTGGAGGACTTTTGTTATAGGAGGATCTCCCGTTTATTTGGTCATATGAGAAAGCTAGTTGAGAAAATTTTACTTCTTAGCTTAATCGCACAAATGGACAGATTTATGCTCTTGCTCTTGATATCCTGAAGCCATGTTTGTTGGCAAAAGGGTTGCCACTTGATATGGCACTAAGAGAGGGCAAGGACTTCTACCAGTAATAAGTGGGGGCACAATAGTACAAATCTTGTTAGAGGGGACCAGAAAGGAGGAAAAATTTCTTAAAGCTCAGAGAGCGATAAATCTGTTTATAGTACTTCTACTGAAAATATATGGCATATATAATAAGCCCCTAGTAGTGAGTACTCCCAAATTTTAGGCAGATACTTTAACTCTATTACACTTGTTTTTAATTTGTTTGCAGGTTGCCATTGAGGTTGCATCATTTTCCAAATACGCTGGATTTACGGGAGTCCGTTTAGGTTGGACAGTGGTTCCCAAGGAGCTTCAATTTTCCGATGGGTTTCCAGTGGCCAAGGACTTCAATCGTATTGTTTGTACTTGCTTCAATGGTGCATCTAACATCGCCCAATCTGGAGGTCTGGCATGTCTTTCACCAGAAGGCCGCCAGGTAAATTTCACCTTGTTATTTTTATCAAAATTTGCTTTTTGAATATGATTCTGGGAGAAGGATCTGACTTCAACTGATTCATAAATTTTGACACCATACAGGCTATGCAGGAAGTGGTTGGTTTCTATAAAGAAAATGCCAAAATCATTGTCGAAACTTTCACTTCACTTGGTTTTCACGTTTATGGGGGGGACAATGCACCATATGTGTGGGTTCACTTTCCCGGCCAGAAATCATGGGATGTTTTCAGTAAAATTCTTGCGAACACCCATGTTGTTACAACTCCTGGCAGTGGTTTTGGACCTGGCGGTGAAGGTTTTGTGAGGGTTAGTGCCTTCGGTCAGAGGGCCAATGTGTTGGAAGCGTGTAGAAGATTGAAGGAGTGTACATGTGAAGAAATGACATCCATTTTCTATCATATTAGATGTTTTATGCTATTGTAGAACTTTGTCGTGTTGCCTAAAATAAGGTGGTTCTATTTAGGTATCAGGTTAGAGCCATTTTCTATCATATGAGATGTTTTATGCTATTGTAGAACTTTGTCATGTTGCCGAAAATAAGGTTGTTCTATTTAAGTTTCAGGATAGAGCAGTTAAAATTTCTTGATTGTAATGTCTAGTTTGGGGAAGCTAGATCCTGTTTCTGAATGGTCAGTGATTCCTGTTTTGGATAATTGTGAAGTACATTTTCCCAGTTAATTTTATCCCTCAATTCATTTCCCGCAAATTATGACTATTAGAACCAGCGATTAAAAAATAAGGTTCGCACTCTGCCCAATCCAAATGATCAATGGTAGGAAAATTTTACATCATAAGTATGCTTCGATAGTTCTGTGCTAGTATTCTATTCTTAACGATCGCAGCTTAGATACAAGAGGCAAGTTCCTGTGGCTACTTCAAGCTTTAAACCAGAAGATAAAATGCAACCTGAAACGGTTATTAATATTTCCCACAGAAATTAACGTACAATAACAAAGAGGTTCATACTAAAAATTTTAATTTGCCCATTTTCAATTGCTAGAATGCAACAATAGGAACATCAAGGACGATGGAAAGACAACTGTTAAATCTCAACGTCCAAACAACGTTCTCAGACACTAAGCAGCCCATCAACCTATCGTGGCTTTTCTCTCCATCTTTTTGAGCAAGCATAACTGGTTTAGAAACCTAAAGGCCTCGCAAAGCCTAAGAAATGCAAGTCTAGTTCTAAAAGGGATTTAACCCATCTTGAGATGCAAATTACTGCAACTAAAAAAAATTCGGAAACAACAGATTTATTAAAGGATGATATGACATAAAACTCTTATATGACCAGAATACAGTTATTAACAATATCCTAAAAGATTGTCAAATATCATATGAAGGATACATTATAATGCAATTTCAGATATGTTATCTTACAATACCCTTCAGTTACTAAGCCCAGCAAACAAAGCTTACACTAGCTAAGCTGGGCACCATATATGATCTGTTTCTTAAGTAAACCTACAAATTATAAAACTAAAAATCTACTCCTTCTCTATACTTTTTGTCTATGCTTTGCAGGTAGTCTTGTAGTGTCCTGTTTGGTTGCACCGGCTAAATGCACAGTGTGTTTCTCCCGATTGAGATCCTCCCCACAGATTCGCTATTTTTTCAGGACGTCCAGGTGGTCTGCGCATCTTTGGAGGCCGCACAACTCGCACATCCTCATCATCATCATCATCATCATCTTCTTCTTCTTCTTCTTCCATTGTATTTTACTCGGGATGAGGTTTACATCTTCCGCGTATGTCTCGTGATAGCAAGCCCCAGTAAAAAACTTCTCCGTGAAGGCATATACACCTTTTCTGGATGAGATGAGCGTTGCGTCAGCACGTGAGCATGGTATTCCATAGAGCTGCCAATCACGGCAAGAACAAGAGTGGGTCCCAATATTTACAATGTTTGATTGTTCTGCTGATAGAACCTCAAATTCTACCTCATCTGACCGAAGGACTTGGCATGCGGAAGTACAATTGATTGCTTCTGCTACACGCTTCTCGGCACTAGGTCTAAGTACAGAAAACCATGAACTACTCTTTGCACGCCGATCTGCAAACTCAGCCACCAGTTTACTGTGAATCCGCACAATTACTTGAATTATGGGCAGCTCTCGTGCTCCCAAAATCCATCGGTTGAACTCCTCAATATTTGAGGACAGATGACCATACCGTGTGCCGTCAAAGTATACCAGTGCCCAGCGAGAAGGGGGAAACTGTTGAAGCCACTTTGCAGCTTAAGAAGAAACCTCCTCTATCTCCGCCAGTTTCTCTTTGAAACCGATAACAGTGGTGGAACACGCAACTTTCCATATAAGACTGATGAGCCTTGAATTTTTGAACTCTTATCCAATGCTTTCGCTCAAGCACAGCATGCAGAATGCATGAGAAAAACTAGGGAATTTCCTTTTTAGAGAATCCCCAACCTCCTTTTGCGCATCTGATAAAAAAGTAAACTGAGGGATCTTATCTGCATTTGTCTCTAAAGCTTTTTGTAACTCTGACCAAAACCACATCCAGTTCTCATCATTTTCCACATCAAAGACACCAAATGCGAGGGAGACAACCCACCATCAGCATCAAAAGAAGTGGCTGAAAGTAAGGTGCCGAGGTATTTGCTTTTAAGTTGGATTCCACCAAGACAAACTATAGGCAAACAACCATTTAGGAAACAATATATAGGTGCATAAAAAGACACAACAAGCCGTTGAAACCGGTTATCTGAACCAGCAGTGAAAACCTCTGCAATGCTTCCTGGGTTGCTGACCTTGATTTGCTCGCAGTATAAAGGGAGGAGGCGGTAACCTTCTCCAGAAGAGCCATAGCAGCTGCAAGTCCTCGCTCCTTTGCACGCCAAGCTTGCTTATATGGTATTGTAATTCCATATTGTTTGTGAATGTCATGCAAAATATCTTTTGGTTTATAGTTTATGTTATCTCGAAGCCTTTCCTCTATAAAATTCACTATCCAGTCAACGGAAGCCTGATGATGCCCATTTTGGGCATTTTTCCACAAGTATGTGTGGCCTCAATGCTTCGAATTATGAAGGCTGGGGCATTACGAAGTTTAACAGCACGGATGGGCCATGGGCAACCTTCTGCAGCACATTTGCAAAGTAACGAATCAAATCATTTTTTATAATACGAAGCTCGAAAGTGTTGTGCAATTGCTGCTTCTTTAATTGCATTCCGGAAAGCCTTGACATCTGGAACTCCTGGCCAACAACAAAATTGTGATCCTCCATGAGCTAACACATCAGTTAAAACTGCCCCTTTTCGGAAGCCGCTTGCAGTTCAACTTTTGAAACCTGGAAGATCAAATGTACTTTAAAGAGCCACCTATCAGAGTTGGGAAGAAGAGACAAGTTAAAAGAAATTGAATAATCAAAAGAGGAGCATAATGTACATCCAAGGATAGCAAAAGTTGATATCTTAAAGTAACGTACAAAATCTCATCATCAACAAAGTAACTAACCTGACCACCATGAAGACAACGGCTTGTGCCAATAAGCAGTGACAAGTAAATTATAGGATCTACATATCTATATCAAAGCCACAGTAAAGATGCAACAAGAAAAATTACTAAATTCCAATTGAAAACGGTATCCCCTATCATGACATAGACCAGACACAAATGTCAACATGCATCCAGAAGTATCATTGTTGGAGGTTTTCCCAAAATATTTGTCCTTCACCTTTGAGATCATTTCAACTCACTGGTTGAGAAGACAGCAGATAGTCTGCCTATCAAATGATCACATGTCCAGTTTATATTTAGCTTGTGACAATCTTAATTATTAACTGTTTCCATTTAAAAATAAATAAATAAAAACTATCAGTGTTTGGTTGTGTTCCACTTTCAACACTCCCCATAGGACAGGTTAGCCATTAAGTGCTAGTGTATTTCTTACTAGCGCAAACAGAGGATCAAATAAACTAAAACTCAATTAAACAAAAGAAGTGCGCAAACTCATTCCATTTTGAATAGGCATTTTACAATTTCATATATGTAACATAAATATCAATAGCAAAAATTGAAAATATTATTCAGAATTACCTCTGCAAAATGCTTCACCACAAAGCTAGACATTTTTGCACAATGTAAAATCCTTTCGTATTTTAACTCTTGATGAAAAGAACCACTTTACCACACATAATAATTGAAATGGACTTAAAAACATAAAAGCAAAAAAAATAAAAATAAAAAATCAATTAGATAAAAATAATCTTCTGTACACTTTCTGAATATATATCCATACTACTGTAAGTAGCCCATAAATGCAAAAATCATTTTCCGGGCAAAATTATCCTCAGAGTAGATGCTTTCATTAAAAAAATGTGTCAATGGAGATCTATAAACTAAATTTCTGTATGTTCTACTTTTACGCAAGATATTATTTTTATAATATTTTCTTAAGTTATTATAATCTAATTCAAATTCTCACTCAGTATATTTTTTCTTGCTCTTTGATTTTCTTGATTCCCCCTTTTTAATTTATTTCACTCAAGATCAAAGAGATACCCAATGCATTTAGAGTCTTTCTAGGGGTACGATAGTATATGAATCTATTTTGAATAAACAAAATTTACTTCTTTCAGACATAAAGGTCTCTCAGATTTAACAATAGGTGATTATTTAGTTGTGTAATATGTACATTTTAATTACTGTATATACACTTCATTGCTATAGATATGTTATTTTTTAATATATAAAATTCTTTTTTCAGCATTATATACTTGGGTAATTCTTTCACTATAAGAAAACAAGGCTTTAGCGATGAAAATTAGTGACGAAATTTTCTGTCGCTAATTACCAACGGATTGGCAATGGATCAGTGACGAATTACTAATCTGTTGTAAATCCATCGCTAAATCAGTGACGGACAGCAATCTGTAGCTAAATTTGTCGCTAAATCAGTGATTAAAAATAATCCGTTAGAAATTCGTCGCTAATTCAGCGACGGACAGCAATCCAATGCTAAATCAATGACAAAAAATAATCTATCAGTAATCTGTCACTAAATTAGCAATTGAGCATCAGTTTATCACTAATCTGTCGCTAATTTAGCAAGGGACCACTAATCTGTTGGTAAATTCGTCGCTAAATTAGTGACGGACCACCAATCCATCACTAAATCCGTCGCTAAATTAGCGACGAACCACAAATCCGTCGCTAAATTAGCGACGGACAATCAATTTGTCACTAAATCCGTCGCTAATTTAGCGACGGATTGGGTTCCGTCGCTAAATCTGTTGCTAATTTAGCGATAAATTGGTGTCCGTTGCTAAATCCGTCGCTAATTTACCAACGAACCACCAATCTGTCACTAATTAACCAACAGACCACTAATCCGTCGCTAATTTAGTGACGAACCACCAATTTGTCACTAAATCCGTTGCGAATTTAGCGATGAACATAAGTTTCGTCGGTAATCCGTTATTAATTTAGTGACAAAATCTGCATTCCATTGTAATTAGCCACTAATTTAACGATGGAACACATTTTCCATTACTAATTTAGTGACACAACTGTTTTTCATTGGTAATTCATCGAACACTAGGGAGTTAGAAGGCTCGGATTATGGATCGATGAGTTTGGACCTCGACGTTACAATGTAAGAGTGAAAATATATTTAATATATGAAACTATTACTAAATTTAATATATATAAAATTGAATACTTTAAAAAATAAAAATAAAAGAGGTAAGAGTGAAGATATATATATATTTATGAAAAATATAAATAGTTTTTTATAAATTGAGCTACTAACAAATTCAAATATGTTAAAAAATAAGAATAATAATTAAACTAATATTTAAACAGTTTATTTAAAAAATAATTTAAATATGATTAAATAAAGAATAAAATAAATTTTTGAAAAAATATAACAAAGTATTGACATTTTAAATTTTACCTTTCTTTTATTTGCAAATAAATTTGCAAGCCCAAAGCTCACGGGAAAATGTTACAGGAAATTAGGGTTGAGATAATTTTTTTATTTTAAAAATAACATATAAAAACAAACTAAATATACGCCAAACAAAGCCTAAAAGAATGGCCACTAGGATTATCAATTAAATATTTGATTTGTCTAAATATTTTGGATTTTTTTTGTGTGAAAGGGATTTGCAAAAATATCCAGCAATTTGAGTATGATCCATTGACAGCATTATAAATAATATTATTGCATATCTAAAATATTTTTTTAAAAAAAATGTCCAACTTTGAAAACAAAAACTCGTTTCTAAATTTTTTTAATATTTTTTTTATTTTGAAATAAATTCAATCATAAAAATACATCAAATACCTTTTTTTTTTTAAGGAAACGGTGCAAAAATTTTTATTCATTTAATATTTTTTTAAATTATAAAATACACTTATAAATTTATATGAATATAGTTTTAGGACTAGCATAATATTGTAGGATGAAAATGAAAGCAATTGGTTTTATATGAAAGAAAAGAAAAGAAAGAAAAAGGAAAAAATGAATGGCAATGGCCCCTTAGACTTTTAACTGAATTTAAGTTTAAATATAAAATAATTTTTTCATTTTAAATATAAAACATTTTTTTTTCTTTTATAATAAAAAATAATTTTATTTTATAATACCAAACATAGCCTCACTAGTTCCTTTTCCTCCTAACTTGCTATTCAATGTATGGATGAAAAAAGGGGCCTCTAGAAATTTCATTCCTCCAAATAATCTCCTTTTTATTGTAAAATACATACCAAATCAGGGAATATCTTTGTCCTTGAACTCTTTTCATTTTCTTTCAGTCAAAAAATGCATACAAGGCAAAGTTGTCAATCTAAATTTGATTTTAGTAGAATGTCTTACATATTTTTTATTTTTTAATTATATATATTTTATTTAAATAATTTATAATTAAATATTTATAACATAATTAATTAATCAAATTAAAATAAATTTGGAGAAAGAATGCACTAAATTGGGTCACAAGTTTGAAAATCAAATTTTTAAATATAAATGAAAATTTAATTTAAAACATTTTAGCAATAATATAAATCCAAAGAAAACCAAATAGAATTATAAAATATAAAATTATAAAATACACTTATAAATTTATATGAAATATAGTCTAGGACTAACATAAAATATAAAATAAAATTATTTTATTTATAAAAGAAAAAAATTTTTATATTTAAAATGAAAAATTAACGCACCCTATCTTTCCCTCCCCTTTTCCCTCCCTATCAAAATCTCTTGACTTATTTGTTTCTCCCCCTTTTACCCTTCTTCCCCTCTCTCCTCTCCCGAAAATTTCCCCTCAACCCAAATCTGTAACCCTTCCAGTCTCTTTCCCTTCAGCACTAGTGGGAGAGTCGACCACCTAGAAGCGACCGTTGACAATCGTGCTGTCATGCTCCGGACTTGAGTTTTCAACCTCTTCCTTCTTCCGTCCTCCGTGCTGTCATGCTCCAGATAACAAGGTACGACTCATCTTTGCTTTTTGAAATTTTTGTGTTTAACTTGAGTTTTCTTCAAATTATTTTGAGGAGTTTTAATATCTAGCCTATTTAGAGTGTAAATCCATAAAGAAATTACAATATAAGATGAATTTTTTGGGATTTTCTGCAACCGGGTCACTAGATCATGCTCCCGGTGCCCATGGCTTTCCGTTCTGTGCTTTAGGTTGTTGTTCTATGGATAACCAATGACTTGCATAGTTGTTTCATCTGCGTCTACTTGTTAGACAAGTTGACTTCTTGTTGGATTCGTACTTTGGTTGATGGGATTTTTTTTAAATTTTTTTCCTTTTGATATTTATACTTTGGTTATGGAGATGGTCATTTGTGGTTATCTGCCCCGCTCCCCTTGGCCCCCTTGTGTTTGTGATTCTGTCTTCTGGTTATATATTTTGAACCTATATAAATAAATTTGCTTGTGTGTAGGTGTTATTGGTTTACGTATTAAGTTGTCTTATTATACTTATGATACAGAGAAACAAAGGGATAAAAAAGTAATTTAAAATTAAAATACCATTGTCATATCGTTATGTAAATAAATTTTAATATAAAAATTATTCTAATTTTGTATTTTCGCTTTAATATCAAAAAGAAAATCCTGTTGTTTAATCGTAAGCGTGAGCCCTGTACATGCCATTCTCAGGTGGTCTTGGTCGGAGGGTACTATGACGCAGGGGACAATAAGAAGTTCAACTTCCCAATGGCCTCTCCACCACCATGCTAGCTTGGGGAGTCTTAGAATTTGGCAAAGCTATGGGCCCAGACCTTCCTCATGCTCTAGAGGCTGTGAGGTGGGCCACTGACTACTTCCTTAAAGCCACCGCTGTCCCCGGCGTTGTCTATGCCCAGGTCGGCGACCCCTACCTCGACCACTACTGCTGGGAGCGGCCGGAGGCCATGGACACCCCTCGGACCACCTACGCAGTAAATAAGACGAATCCGGGGTCAGAAGAGAATTGCCAAAAATGGCATTATAAAATTATTTTCAAGTAAATTAATTTCTGTTCTTTGTTTTTGGGGTACGTAGGTGTTTGAATTTGCAGATGAGTACCAGGGATCCTACAATGATAGCTTAAGGTCGGCAGTCTGTCCATTTCTATTGTTTCCAATGGCTACAAGGTAAATCTTGAATTAAGTGTATAATTTTTTTCATTTTTATTTTTATTTGTCTTACATGGTAATCGTTTGGGGAGGCAATTAAATAACTACCAAACAATGCTTCCAGGATGAATTGATCTGGGCAGCGGCATGGCTATTTGCCTGGTTGTGGTAACTAATATGGCTAGTGGTTATTATTGAATTACTGTTCATGTATATTCTTGACAGTAACGAATTTATAAAATTTTAAGTTATTATGTAGTTTTCAATTTATATGTAAAATTGGATTCCCTTCTTGGTTGACGATAACCTAAAGATTTTACCATAACAGAGTTAGAAAGAAAAATGGTATGAACACATGTTTAAAAACACGTGTTCAAGTTGATGGAGAAATTAGTATGAAAAATGTTGGTGCGACCTAATTTAAAAATATCGGTATGAACACGTGTTTAAATGGTAGTTAACATTATGTATCATTGATAGTTTGTTTAAACAAAATGGGTTTGAGGAAGTGAATTTGGGAAAAGGAGGTTAAAAAAGTATGTTTAGATAAAGTGGGTTTGAAGAGAGCTAGCTTAGATAGTACAGTGGACTTTGGAAAAATAAATTACGAAAATCATTTTTTTGGGTAATGACTTCAGATTGCAAATAAATAAATTTATCTCTTAATCCAACGGGGATATCTGAACCCCCGTTTTGAAGCCTATCAAACAGGGAGGGCCATGGAGTCAGCACGGAAGGACCTTGGTGATCTAAGAGAGGAAGATGCTATCAGCTTCGGAACCTTTCTATTTAAATACATCGACGTGTATGCGTCTCTCTCTCTCTCTCTCTCTCTCTATATATATATATATATATATATAAAAGGATCAATTGATACCAGGTGTGAGTGTAAATATTTACAATATATTTTACATCGTTGATTTGGTCAAAATCAACGGTGTAGATTAATTACAACTGATTTAAATGTAAATTAATTGTTAGAAGTTAGAATTACTAGAAGTTAGTGAAAGCAGCTGTTTAAAAATTAAGTTTCAACTCAGCTAAACCTTTTTGCAACTACATCAATTCTTGGAAGTCGACATTTAAATGTTTAATTCTGGAGGACAAGAGTTTGTCAGCCTGGTTTAATTGAATTAATATAATGTAACATGACAAATTTGCTGCTCTGAAAATACAATGGCTCATTAGTTGCAAAGTTGCTGTTTTTCCTTAATTGTTTCTAATTTTATAGTAATGACTTCATTCTGGCAGCATTGATTTCAAGATTAGAACAATTGAACTTGATGGCAAACACATAAAATTGCAAATTTGGGATACTGCAGGTGAGGAGCGGTTTCGGACTATCACAATAGGTATAGTTTTGGTTTTCAAATGATACGTGCAGCTGTATTTAATTGTATTCTCATCTATGGCACATGAAAATAATAGAATTACATAGCTTATCCACTTGAGTGATTTGATTATTAAAATGAACCAGGCTGTTAGAGCATCCATGGAGCTAAAAGTGACATAGGATGCATATATCTCACCGAGATACTGAAAGATTGATATGCTTGGTTGTCAATCAGAATCATGTTATTGCTTAGCTTTAAAATATTAAGTTTTCTTTTTGACATTTGAAATTGGTACGATTAACTGAATATCTTTAATTGAAAATCTAATTGCTTAGTTGATTTTGATCTGAGTACCAAGGAACTATGGGTATCTTGTTGGTTTGTGATGTTACAGATGAATCATCATTCAACAGTAACTTCCTTTACCTTTGCAGTACTTGCTTCCAATACATAACAAATTTCACATTAGATCACTTCTTCCATCTAGCTCGTGTTTTAAGTATGCGAAAGCTCAAATAGTTTTTTGTTTGTGGTCCACTTGATTGTTTTTTTTTTAGCGGACAGTGTATATGTCTAATTCTATCCTAACTTGTAATTCTAATAAATATTAGAATTTCTTTTACTAAATAAGCTATATTTATTTCACTTATTCATTGAGCTTAGCTTAGCTCCTTTCAGACATAGGAATTGGATTCACAACATTGAACAACATGCCTTAGATAATGTTAATAAGATACTGGTGGGAAACAAAGCTGACATGGATGAAAGCAAAAGGGTAGGCTATTCATTCTTTTGCATATTGTCTCATTGGAATCTCTTCTTAGAGTAGGTTGTTAGATTCTCAAACATATAATTGCTTTTCTTGCACTTTTGGTTTATGTTTGAGTATCTGGGTTTGGAAGGAAATTAATTTAACCATGGCTAGCTAAATATATTTTTATTTTTCTTTTTTTTATTATTATTAGCCATGATTATAACCGTGGTTAAATTAACATCTAACCGTGACAAAAAAAAGGTTGCCATGGTTCATAAAATTGTGGCAAATAACATTGCAACACAGTTTTATGAATCGTGGTAACCTCATTTTAGCCACAGTTTTTGTGCATTTTAGCCACGATTTTGACCATGGCTAATTATTGATTTTCTTGTAGTATGTATGTATGAGTTATTAATTTATTATGTTACATGTATTTATTTTCTTATATTGTCATTTGAAAAATGTAGAATATGAAATATTAGAGATGATTTTTTTCTTTTTTACTTGTTTTTATTTTAATTATAATTTTTATTTATTTATATTTTATTATCTTATGTTTATATATATATATATATAATATATTTTTGCAGGATGGCAACTAGAGGAAAGGGAGGAAGAGGATCTAGAGGTAGGAGACAGGAACATGGTATATAAGGTTGTGGTTTAAGACGTCAATTAAATTCTTGATGAGGGTTAAGAGAATGATTTAGAAAATTTATACATACAAACATCCATAGGGCATTTATTTGAGGAAGGATCAAATAACGGTGATAAATATCTAGTATTTATAGTATGTATGTTGGAGTAAGACATTAAAAATTTGTTGGATAATATATATATTTTCATGATTATATTGTATTTTTTAATGAATTATGAGCAAATTGTATTATTTTCACTATATTATGCATTATGAAAATGAAATACATGTTTTTATTAGAAACAGGCATTTGTATTGGAAAAAAATTACCAACAAAAATTTAATTATAAATTTTTCAACCAAAAGCAAAATCAGCGATAGAATTTGTTGATAATTTAGTGATGTAATTTAGTGACAGAATTTTCAGACAGAATTTAGCGACGGAATTTAGCAATGGAATTTTTGTTGGTAATTTAGTGATGAAATTTTTGTTGATAATTTAGCGACGGAATTTCTGTTAGTAATTTAGTGACAGAATTTTCATCACTGATTTTCTGTTGCTAATTTAGCGACGGAATTTTAGCGATGAAATTTCTGTTGATAATTTAGCGACGGAATTTCCATTACTGATTTTCCGTCGCTACATTAGCAGCGGCCATTTTACCGATGGAATTTTTTTCGTCGCTAAATGCGTTTAGCGACGAATTTTGTTGGTTTAGCGATGGAAAATTTCTGTCGCTGAAGAATTGTTTTCTTGTAATGTTTGTCGTTTGGTGTTCAATTATTTTTTCCTAATTTGCATCTTAACTCAAACATTCTCATATTATAATGATAATAAATCAATAATATATTGCCCATCATGATCATCCTACATTTAATAGGAGATCAAAGCACTTTTTCTTTTTTTTATTTTTTTTGCATAGTACGAGATTGTTAATAATAAGATAGATAAAATAACAGAAAATAGCAGTTTTAAAAAAAATTACGGTAAAAAATTGTTGTAATTTATAATTAAAATTGTCGTAATTTATACAAAAAATTATTATTATTTATACTAAAAATTTCTATAAATAACAAAAAAATACCGCAATTTACTAAAAAGTGGCCATAATTTATACTCAAAACTGCCAAAATTTACAAAGACAAATTAACAATAAAAATGATAGTAATTTAACTACCATAAATCACCATAATTTAACCACCGTAAATTACGGTAGTTCTACTGCCACAATTTACAAAAAAACTACTGTAATTTACATTCAAAATTGTCATAATTTACAAAGAAAAATTAATAATAAAAAGCTGCAGTAATTTAACCACCTTAAATCGACGTAATTTAACGCTGTAAATTACGACGGTTCAATTGCCACAATTTACAAAAAAATTGCCATAATTTACAAAGAAAAATTAATAACAAAATTGCTATAAATTACGGCGGTTCAACCACCGTAATTTAACCACCGTAAATCACTATAAATTACAACGGTTGAACTGCCGTAATTTGCCGCTGTAAATTACGGTGATTGACGCGGTGGTGAGTCTTTAACCACCATATTATACTGAACGACAAATTGGATTTCGACAGTTTTTCAAACGGCCGTACGCGAAAAAAATGATCGTTAAAAATCGTCATTTTTTGACAAAATAACCATCATAATTTACGCATTTTTTTTGTAATGACATGACCTTTCTCTTGCTTGGAATCATGGATTTAGGAAAGTATGGTGTAACTTAAACTCCTTGGAAGCAATGAGACTTATTCACATGTTAGATATACCTAGATATCATTTGTCAGTTATAAGTGATATTTGCTATTTCATGTAACTGGACTAGGACATAAGAATAACTCATACTTTGAAAGAAGCAAACAGTTGTGTTGACTTCTTAGCAAAACTTGGAGTTGGAGCTGAAGATCTTTTTGTTCTTTAGGACCACCCTCATACAGGTCTTTCACATTTATTGCTAACAGATGCATTTGGAATAATGCATACTAGAATTTTACTTTTTTTCTTTTCTTTTTTTCTCTCAATGTACCAACAAAAAACACTATTTGGTTGCTCTCTCCACATATTTATTAATAAAGGAAATGGTAGTCTAGGGATTATGGTACAAAGTTTGATGCGATCAAGGATGAAGATAGTAAAATTCTCTTAATTGAAGTATTTGAATTTTTTATAATAATATTTTAATTCATAAATTATTTAATTTTTATTCTAATTTGCCATGACTCGAAAAGTGAATTCATGACTGGCGTTAAGATTTGAATATATCTCGACCTCGCAAACCTAACAAATAATTCAGCATTTAATTAAACCAAAACCTTATATAAAATTGGAATGAAATTAAATTCAAAACCCAACCAAATTATCAATGTATCGATAGGAAAATTTGTTTGTAGTCAAATAGGACTATCTAAGAATCCCAGAAATACAAAACTGATAGAAGCTGAAATAACTAACTTTTGCAATTAAAAACAAAAGTAATAGAAATAAAAGACTCCTTTTAAGCAGCGAGATCTAGCTGAGTATCGAACTTTGAATCTGAAAAATAATAAGAGTGAGTTATAGATCTAGTAAATAATAATATGCATTTATAAAAATAAGGGATATGTATAACATATAGAGCCAAAAACTTTACATTATAAAGAACCTTTATAGTTATCAAAATTTTAAAGAGCTCATGTTCCAAAACAGAACATATATCAGATGATGACTTCATAGTCAGCCGATAACAAAAATCAGAAGGTGGCAGTTTCATGTATAGATATGCAAGTCACCCATGTCAACCTAATACGAGAATCTAGCACCACCCTTACTAGATAAGGATACTGTACAGATGCACTCAATCTAATGTTTACTACCGTTAGTTACAATGTTTTAAAATTTAAGATTCCCTTAAACAGTTTTTCCCATATTAAACAAAACAGTTTAACAGAAATTTTTCATATACAAATGTAAACAAATTATATGTAAATAACATATAGACGTTCCAAAACAATTTTAGAAATTTTATACATGTCTCATGTTTTGCTTTTATAACAAAATTTCTTCAATTTTCAGAAACCAAATATATTATGTAAATTCAAAATTTATAATAGATATGGAAAATAGTAAATGTTCATAAATACACATCATTATTCACATAACAAGTAGGAATTGAGTGATCCAATCTCTGGTGATGTATAGGCTCGACGGAAACTGTATAAAAATATAAAAAAATGAAATATCTTATTTTAGGTTTTCAATACATAAAAAAAATCAAATAATCATAATTTTTTCTAAGTAGATCTTGTAGGTTTTTGTGCCCAAAATCCATTGTGGGCTACTAAAACCCGAACCGATCAAATAAGTCATGCCAGAATCTCGAACCAGACTTATAAAGTATAAAAGTGATTTATTTAACCTATAAACTAATCATTAAAGTATTAAACTAGATTTGAATCACCCACTAGGAAGTTAAATCAACCATGATTTGGTCTCTAATATACTGAGCTAGCCTTGAACTAGTCTTTAATGCATGGCCCTGAACATACCAATTAGGGGTCATGTTGATTATTTAACTAAATCTAAGGTTAAGTTTTAGATTCTAAATCAGGCGATTATTATTCATTTTCATAAATCACGGGTTTGTTTGTGTGTATTTTATATATTATTGTCACTAAAAAATTGATTACTTCTGTTTTTAACTCAAATATTATTTATTTTTTGTTCTAATTAACAAAAGCAGAGGGGTAATCCAGTAACGATATTAGTACACCCACAAATTATAATCCACCTATATTAAAAATTCTCTGTCACACCAACAAAATTTTGTGGTCCTTCTTATTGACCCAAATCTTGGGTGACCAATCCTTGCACAGCATTTGGATATTTTAATATTTGGTCTGGATCGCTCTCAATCAGCATCTTTACTGTTTGCATGACTTCTTGTGGTCTTTGGAAAGTCTATACACAATTGCATAATTTTCCCTTTCACGATTCTGGAAGACTCTTTTTTTTTTTTTTTTTTTTTTTTTTTGGGGGGGGGGGAAACGGTTTATGGCCAGAAAATATGTGTGTGT